CTTTTATTCAGTAAGAATCAATTTTTGTTAATGGTGAAAGGTAGGGGTCCAGTTTCAGTCTTCTATAGGTCGCCAGCCAGTTCATCCAGCATCATTTGTTAAATAGGGAGTCTTTCCCCCACTGAATATTTTTGATAGGCTTGTTGAAGATCAAACAACGATAAGTAGCTGGGTTCATCCCTTGGTTCTCCACTCTGTTCCATAAATCTACTACTATGTTTTTGTGCCAGTACCAGGCTATTTGATCACTATAGATTTATAGTATAGCCTTAAGTCTGGTAACATGATACACCAGATTTGTTCTTATTTCTGAGTAATGTTTTTGCTATTTGAGGTTTTTTCTGATTCCATATAAAATGAAGTACTATTTTTTTCAAGCTCCTAAAGTATGACAGTGGTGCTTTAATAGGGATTGCTTTGGGTAATATGGACATTTTAACAATGTTGATTCTTCCCAGCCACGAGCATGGTGGGTTTTCCCATTTGTTAACATTTTCAATTATTTCTTTTCTCAGTCTATAGTTCTCTTTATAGAGATCTTTCACATCCTTTGTTAGGTAAATTCCCAGATATTTTATCTTCCTTGGCACTACTATGAAAGGAATAGAGTCCTTGGCTATATTTTCAGCTTGACTTTTGTTGGCATATATAAAAGCTATTGATTTATAAGTATTGATTTTGTATCCTCAGACCCTGTTGTATTCCTTGACCGCTTCAAAGAGTTTTGAAGTTGAGTCCCTGGGATTTGCCACGTATAGGATCATATCATCAGCAAAGAGTGAGAGTTTGATTTCCACTGACCCTATTTGGATACCCTTGATCACCTTCTCTTGTCTGATTGCGATGGCTAAGACATCCGGTACTATGTTGAATAGCAGTGGAGACAATGGGCATCCTTGCCTCATTCCTGATATGAGTGGAAATGTTTTCAGTTTTATACCATTCAATACAATATTGGTTGTGGGCTTGCTGTAGATGGCCTCTATCAGTTTAAGAAATGTCCCTTCTATGCCTAATTTCTTAAGTCTTCTGATCATCTTTTTTTTGCAGTTTTGGCTGGGGCTGGGCTTGAACCCACCACTCCCGGTGTATGGGGCTGGTGCCCTACTTCTTGAGCCACAGGTGCTGCCCTGTATAATTTTTTTGATGTGTTGTTGAATTCTATTTGCTAAGATCTTATTGAATATTTTTGCATCAATATTCATTAATGATATCAGTCTATAATTTTCTTTCTTTGTTGGATCCTTTCTTGGTTTGGGGATCAGGATGATATTTGCTTCACAGAATGTGTTGAGAAGTTCCTTCTTTTTCTGTGCTTTGGAAAAGGTTGTATAATATAGGTACTAGTTCCTCTTGGAAGGTTTGATAGAATTCGGATATGAAGCCATCTGATCCCAGACTTTTTCTTTTTTGGGAGATTTCGTATTATTGATGCTATTTCAGTGATTAATATAGGTCTACTCAAGATTTCTAATTCTTTGTGGTTGAGTCTAAGAAGGTGGTGTGCTTCCAAGTATTGGTCTTTTTCCTTCAGATTTTCATATTTCTGAGAATAGAGATTTTTCTTATAATCATTGAGGATTTTTTGAATTTCTGAAGCGTCTGTTGTTACTTCTTTATCATTTCAGATAGACGATGTTAGAGATTTTACTTTTCTGTTTCTGGTTAGGTTGGCCAGAGGTTTATCAATTTTGTTAATCTTTTTTTTTTTTTGAGACAGAGCCTCAAGCTGTCCCCCTGGGTAGAGTGCCGTGGCATTACAGCTCACAGCAACCTCCAACTCCTGGACTCAAGCGAGTCTCTTGCCTCCGCCTCCCAAGTAGCTGGGACCACAGGTGCCCGCCACACGCCCAGCTATTTTCTGGTTGCAGCCGTCGTTGTTGTTTGGCAGGTCCGGGCTGGGGATTCGAACCCGCCACCTTAGGTGTACGTGGCTGGTGCCTTAGCCGGTTGAGCTACAGGCGCTGAGTCTGTTAATCTTTTCAAAAAACCAACTTTTTGCTTTGTTGATCATCTGAATGATTCTTTTGTTTTCAGTTTCATTTAATTCTGCCCTAATTTTGGTTATTTCTTTTCTTCTGCTGTGTTTGGGGTTGGAACGTTCTTCCTTTTCCAGTTGCTTGAGATGATCCATTAAATTGTTGTCTTCCTTTCTTTCTGTTTTCTTGATAAAGGCTTCCAGCGCTATAAATTTCCCTATTAGGACTGCCATTGCAGTATCCCACGGGTTTTGATAATTTGTGTCTTCATTATCATTTTGTTTCAAAAATTTGCTGATTTCCTCCTTAATCTTGGCTTTGACCTAGCTATCATTCAGCATAAGATTATTTAGTTTCCATGATTTTGTTAGAGTATGAAGATTCCTGTTGCTGTTGAGTTCAACTTTTATTCCATGGTGGTCTGAGAAGATACAAGGAATAATTTCTATACTTTTAAATTTGCTGAAGTTAGACTTATGTCTTAGGATATGATCTATTTTTGAGGATGGCCTGTAGGCTGATGAGAAAAATGTATATTCAGCTTTATTAGGATGAAATTTCTGTAGAGATCTGTAAAGTCCATTTGTTCTAGGGTCAGGTTTAAGTCTAATATTTCTTTGTTTAGTTTCTTCTTGGAGAATCTATCCAAAATTGTCAAAGGGGTGTTAAAATCTCCAACTAGTATAGTACAGAAAGATATCAAGTTGTTCATATCCATTAGGGTCTGCTTTATGAATTGAGGGGCATTCTGGTAGGGTGCATAAGTGTTCATTATTGAAATCTCTTCAAGTTGAGTGTTGTTTCCGTTGACAAATATGTAGTGACCATCCTTATCTTTCTTTATCTTTGTTGGGTTTAAAGCCAATTGTATCTGCTGCTAAAATTGCAACCCCTGCTTTTTTATGGTTTCCATTTGCCTGTATTATACAAGTCCATCCCTTTACCCTGAGTCTATTTTTATCCTTTAAGGTAAGGTGAGATTCTTATATACAGCAGATTTGAGTCTGAGTCTAATTTTATGTATCCAGGCAGCCAGCCTGTACCTCTTTAGTGGACAGTTTATACCATACACATTAATTGAGAGAATTGCTAAGCCTGGTTGTGTTTTTGGTGTCATGATTTTTGGATGTCCAGTGGACATTAATTCTTTCACCACTGTGGAAGTTGGGTTTTGTTCAAAAATTTCTGGGTGAGTTTACTTTGAAGGTAGAGCATTGTACTGGTCATTGTGGAGGATGGGTCTGAGAATATCCTGGAGAGCTGGTTTAGTTATGGCTGGGGACTAGCCCTGTCTGTGAACTCAGTTGACATAGGGCAGCCACTCTCCCACTGTGGGTGCCTGCAGAGCCAGGGGTTCCGCACCCTGTCCAGCCAGACACACCCTGAACCAAGGGTCAACACCATCACTAGCCGGGCATAGTCATAACCAGGGGACTGCTCCTCCTCCCACCGAGTTTCTTTTTTCCCACACCCTCTTTCTTCCCTGTTAATCACAGATTCCGTCCTGATGGTTGGCAGTCCACGCTATGCCCAAATCTCTCAGGAAAAGACCAAATAACTCTGTGCTATGCAGGGGGCAGAACTTCAGACCACCATGCAAGGGGGGAAGGGTGGATTGGGAATTTGGAGTTGTGGGGGGAAATATCTGTTCAGTTTTGTGCCTGGCAGGGTGGTGTCTAGGTTCATAAGTGGGACCTCCCTGCAGAAAGAGACCTGGTGTTTAGCGGCTCTCTCCAGCGAGGTAAAATGAGAGGTCTTTTGTTCCCTGCTCGCTCACAGATAGCCTGTGGCCCGTCTCCTGCTTGGGGGAGGGGTATTCCATCCTCTAGTCGGTAGGCTTTATACCTATAATTTGTTTTCTTGAATGCTCTTCCTTGGAGTTACAGCTTGGCGAACAGCAACCTCCAATTCCTGGGCTTAGGTGATTCTCTTGCCTCAGCCTCCCAAGTAGCTGGGACTACAAGCACCCACCACAACTCCTGGCTATTTTTTTTGTTGCAATTTGGCAGAGGCTGGGTTTGAACCCACCACCTGTATGGTGCTGGTGCTCTACTCACTGAGCCACAGGCACTGCCCCAAACTTCTTTCTTGACTCAGCTTCCCATCTTTGGCTTCATAGAGTCTGATACCATTCATTTTTTTCTCCCTCTGCTCAAGAACCTCTGCCAAGGGTTGCCACCAAACCATCTTCCCAGAATTCCCCATGATAGTGTAATTAATATTTGGGTAGACATAAAGTAGTCCTAGACACATTATCAATAGATAACTATAAACTTGGAATTTAAACATAGGCAGACATTAGATTAAGTTGGTTTTCCCAACCCCCACCTAACAGAGGCCATCCCTTAAAGGGGAAATGATTTGCTCAAGATGCAGCAAACTAACTCTAGAGGCAAGTCTTTACATTTCTAATTCAGTATCTCTTTTTCTGCTACAGTAACAAAAGTATTAGGATTATAACAAACTATGAACCTTGTAGTGTTCTTTAAAATAGTTTAGATATAAAGTGTCTTTTATGGGAAGGCCCTTCTTGTTACCTTCATAGGACTTTTATATTCTTTTCAGTCTTATTCAGTTCATTAAATTCTAACCTTGGTTTCTTGGGAGTTTTTACCATTCTTTCTTGAGCTTCCTGATGAGAAATTATACTCATTCTGTATTGTAGACAGAGAAGCATTAATGTTACTGGCATTGTGTGATCACCACCACTAGGAGTTTCAATCCTGTCCATCAAATGTTGTTTTACTGGAATAGGTGGTGTCATAGATAGTGACTGTGTAAAGGCTTATTCATGAGGCTCATTAAGCCTTCTGAAAGACTGTAAAGCCACTTTGAATCCAAATTCTCTTAGGAACATTTCATTTGTATTTTTATGATAACTTCAATCAATGTAATGTAAATGACAGATTATTAAAGTACATATTATGATTTTGATATTAAGTATAAGAAAAATGATGTTTTAATTTCAGTCTCTTATTTGTTAAAATACAGGATTTAGAATTTTTATTATATTGTATATAGGTGCCTGGAATACTTACTAAGAAATGATGCAAATCCAGGGATCCGTGATAAGCAGGGATACAATGCAGTTCATTATTCAGCTGCTTATGGTCACCGTCTGTGTCTTCAGCTGGTAAGATTACTGAATTAATGTGGAAAGACTAATGTGAGTTTATAATCTAATGTAACAAATGAAAGTAAGTAGATCAAGAAACAAATTCTCTTTTGCTCTTTAACAGTTATTTTCAGAGTCTATAGACCTCAAAAATTCATAGTTGCCCTAGTAAGATATCTCTCATTACCTTTTCCTTTTCAAAAAAGAAAGGAAAAAAGTAGATCTCTGGAGAGAGCTAGTTGTTACCCTGTCTATATGTCTGCAGGATTCACTTTTCCTGCCCCTTTAAATAAATATTTTCCATAAACTTCTAAAAAACTATGACCATGTCTTAGAGGAGAAATAAAAGTCTCTGTGAGAGCAAGGTCTCCCCCTTATATTTAGGGAATTTTGAAAGGCCCATTTATTCCATAGTCCCTCCAAATAAGAGAGACTCTGCTTCTGCAAAGCAAGTTTGTATTTCAGCTGTGGTCTCATTTGAAATATGCATACTGTTCACTCCACTTTGCCAAACCAAAATGAAAGGGACAAGTTAAAATATACTCTTGTGTATCCAGGTGCGTTAGATTCGAGGTTCTTTAATTTAGACTTGTAAGTTATGTTAAATTTATAATTAAATTATGTTAAACTTTGCTTCCCTTCAAGAAGAAATAAAATTCAACAAGAGTAGATATAAAAGAGAAAAAGGAGGTTGACATTTAATATAGCACTTAGAATCCTGCTACAAAAGCAACAAATACCATTTTCTTAAGTTGTTATGGATCTTCAAGCTAAAATTTTAGACCTGTGTATGTTTATCTGTGGTCTGTTGTAATGTAAAATTATTTAAAAGACTCAGGCCACGCCTGTGGCTCAATGAGTAGGGTGCCAGCTGGAGGTTGCTGTGAGCTGTGATGTCATGGCACTCTACTGAGTGTGACAAGGTGAGACTCTGTCTCTTAAAAAAAAAAAGACTTAATTTTTTTGGAGGCAAAGATAGCATAGGTTTGAGTAGATGTAACATAGCAAAGACCAGTGTTAAGTAGAGACTTAATATTGTGAATACTTTCTAAACTGTTCTTGTTTTAATATTTATTTCAGATTGCAAGTGAAACTCCTTTAGATGTTGTAAGTATTAGTCAATTTCTCCCCCTTCGGTTAGAATATTATATTTTTTTGGTCTTGTTAGAGCTGAAGCTGTTTTTACATATTCATAGGAACAAAGATATGACAGAAATTATGTGTGCAAGGGGGGGAAGGTGTTTACTTGGTGATAGTAAAATAGCACTCTCCACAAACTCTGAGTTGATAGCACTTCATTCAGACCTTTTAATCCATAGACCTTATCATACTTTTGTGATGATCCTGTTCTATGTCCTGAGTTATCAGTTTATACACTAAATGGATTTGAACTGGAAGGTAGGGTAGAAAAATTGCTGAAGTATATCTTTCTGACATTTAAAATGCCTCTTCTTTTTTAGTTAATGGAAACCTCGGGGACAGATATGCTCAGTGATTCAGATAATAGAGCAACAATAAGCCCTTTACATTTGGCTGTGAGTATTACCATTATAGCTGACTTGATGGCTAGTTTACTAAAACTGTCTAACACTTATTTGTGTTGACTCAAACAAGTACCATGAACTTTTGGTCTGTGTAGCAGTTAATCATGGAGTTAAAACTCACAAGAACGTTTTTAATTCCGAAAATTTGTAATGTACCTTTTCTGGATTTTGTGTTTATGTGTGTGTGTATAAACCATGGTCCTTGGTCTTCCTCCAGGGCCTCCTCTAAGGGAGAAAATATGCTTGTGATGATGAATTTAAAAATATTTGCTCTAGTGAAATGGCTTATAATGTGCTAAGCTGATGGCACACACAAATCCTATGTTATTTCTACAATTTTTTGTTTACTTTGTCACTTTGTGGTACTAACTATTGTGTGTTCACTGGCCCTGCAGTTGCTTATGCTATAGGATTTGGGTACATGATGTCTAAGATCTCTTCCACTTTAAGATTCCTTTGAATTTTTCCTGTCAATGTCAGTCATTAAGTGAATAGGTTAGAGAAGAGTGCGACAATTCTTTAAATCAAATATGGGCATGAATTACCTTAAGAAATTTTAAGTAGTATTTAATCTAGCTCTTCCTAAATTGAAAGAATTTATTTTTGAAGCAAAGCGTTTTACAGTTTGGGAGAATGGGGGAAACTTTGAAAATCAGGAGATAAGGGTACTGTCACTAGCTATTAAAACAGTAAAATGGAGTGCACTTATGGCTCAAGGAGTGGGGTGCAAGCCCCATATACTGGAGGTGGCGGGTTTGGACCCGACCCTGGCCAAAAAAAAATAGTAAAATGCTTATGAGGTTGTATCTTTAATGTAGATCACTACAAGTTTAGTGATCCATTTCACACGTACTCCTATTTTTTTAATGTTAATATTCTCCTTGCATATGTTCTGACACTGACACACATTGAATTTTCTGCTCTTTCTACCCCCGTCTTCCCACTAGTACTTTCTAATCATGTTCCAAATAATTAAGAATGCATTATTGAAGCTTCTTGCTTCCTTGCCTTTTGAGTCTTTGGACGCACTATCACCTCTCCCAGATTTGCATAGGAAGTCTGAAAAGGCAAAGCTAGCATGGAGAAAATGTCCATTTTACTATTGCTGGCAAGAAGTGAAATCTGAGCAGATGACTAGGGGTTCTCGCGTGGTTGTCATTCTCACCATCCTAATAGCACTGTCATTTCTTGAGCACTTACTAGGTTCCAGACTATTGCCCCCTCATGGAGATTCAAGAAATAGCATATTAGGCTTGGCGCCTGTGGCTCAATTGGCTAAGGCGCCAGCCACATACACCGAAGGTGGCGGGTTCGAATCCCCAGCCCGGCCCACCAAACAACAATGATGGCTGCAACCAAAAAATTGGCCAGGCGTTGTGGCGGGCACCTGTGGTCCCAGCTACTTGGGAGGCAGAGGCAGGAGACTCACTTGAGCCCAGGAGTTGGAGGTTGCTGTGAGCTGTGATGCCATGGCACTCTACCCAGGGGGATAGCTTGAGGCTCCGTCTCAAAAAAAAGAAAAAAAGAAATAGCATATTAAAGGCTCCTAAAAATCTTGTAGTATGTAGACTCTCTTATTAACTTAATGATGTTTCTTTAGAAATTTCATGTTTGTATGCTCCCCACCTAATTTCTCTTTTAGTACCTGTACATATATTCTACACTGATTAATGATTTTTTACTCTCTATCTCAATTACTTTGGGGGGGGGTGTCAGATTTTTTTGTGTGTGGTGGTTTAAAAAGAACATAGCATAAAATTCATAAAATTTACTTTCTTACCCATTTCTGCTTGTACAGTTTAATGGCATTAAATACATTCACATCATTTTACAGCTAATCTCCAGAACCCTTTCATCTTGCAAAACTGAGACTTTATATCCAGTAGACAAACGGTTCTCTATTTTTTCCTCCCTTTAGCCCCTAACAACTCCCATTCTCCTAATCTAAATAACTTCATTTAAGTAGAATCATAATAGTGTTTCTTTATTTATGACTGGCTGATTTCACCTAGTATAATGTCCTTAAGATTTATCCTTTTTGTAGCAGGTGGCAATTTCCTTCATTTATAAGGCTAAATAATTTATTGTTACGTAAATGTCACATTTTGTTTATCCATTCATCTGGCATTTAAGACTTGAGTTGTTCCCATCTATTGGCTATTGTCAGTAAGTGTTGCAAAGAATAAGGGTGTACTGAATATTTTTAAAGCTAAAGTGGAAATTTTGTAATTTAATAATTAGTCTCAGTGAAATGTGATTATACCATCACTTTTGCATTTTGTATCTATCTCTAGGAGGTTTTTCAGAAGTTACTTGAAGTTTTTCATTCCACATTCTATTTAGGACAGCTTAAGTGCAATGAAAATGGTACTGGCTAGAGGCTTAAGGAAACTGATCTTAATTTGTAACTTTGTTTGTACTGGACATACAGCCTCCTTCTCTCAGTCCTATACCAGAACACCATGGGGGAAGAGTTCTGTGGTAAAACATCAGGGGTGCTTGTCATCCTTATTTTCTCTCCTTTTTATACAGTCATCTACATGCACTATGGGAATCCTCAAGAGTTCACTCTTTCGGTAGCATAATTTCATTGACCTGGTATTGAGGAGCAGATTGAATGTTACCTAAGAATAGTAGAATTCTGTGATCCATGGTCACTTTAATCTTTGACGTAGTCAAGGTTTCTGTGGCAGATAGTCAAACCTTCTACCACAGAAGCATCAAAGAGATCAGTCAGGCCCAGAGCAACTTCATCTCTTGCTGGTACTTTCTGACATTTTCGGCCAGAAGGGGCATTATAGTCCTTTGAAGGTTATTATTGCTTTATGTCCGGCTCAGCGTACACTAGTGTAAATAATACATACTTGTCATGTTGGATTTTGACATGAGTTATCTGGGAAGCCCTTTTATCAGACTGGGTAAAGAAAGGGGCTTCAGTTTGACAAAGCTTCAAAACCTTCCTCTTTTATACAGTTGGGATAATGCCTAGAAGGTGACATATGTTCAAACAGCTCAGGTAAGTAATTCTTTGCTAAAAGAAATGCTTATTTTTGAGCTATAACACGTTATGAGGTAAGAGTAGTCACCTTAATTTGAGAAATCAGAAGATTCAAGCACTAACTCAACGCAAGCTGTCTCTGGAGTTAATGAGGAACAGTGACCTGTGATTGAAAAGGCAGGCCCCTGGGTATTATAGACTTAGAATCAAAGCTTTAAATGAATCCATGTCACACATTCATTAAATTGTCTGCCATGAACCAGGATTGTATGTTCATTTGAACTTTTATTATTTGTAGAATATCTGTTCCCTAACTGTAGCCTGCTATGTTTGTTAGAAAAATCTATAGTTAACTTTCTGAATTCTCAATACTACAAAACTTGTTTTGGATTATCTCAAAATAATATGAAGATAAGCTTGCTTATTTATAGTTTCTAAAATATTTGCAAAATCAGCCTAAATATTTTTTTAATTTCTACATTTATTTTTAGGCCTATCATGGTCACCATCAAGCATTGGAAGTGTTGGTACAGTCTTTGTTAGATCTTGACGTCAGAAATAATAGTGGAAGAACGCCTTTAGATCTTGCAGCATTTAAGGGGCATATCGAATGTGTGGATGTACTCATTAATCAGGGAGCCTCAATTTTAGTAAAAGATTACATTTTGAAGAGAACACCTATACATGCAGCAGGTATGCCAAATAGATTGTGCTTGATTTATTTGCCACTATCTGATATTTTGTTTTTTGATTTTCAGTATATATAATATTAATAATTATCTTAAAATTTTTTACTTTAATTGGTTGAATGATTGTATTATCAGGGAAATCTAACAGTAAGACAATAATCACTTAAAAATATCATTATCTGCCTCAAATTGGATTTATGTAATTGTCTTTTTTTTTTTTTTTT